TATATATTTATATTTATAGCATGTACGCACATATTAAAATACAATTTACTAATGTATGATGCAATGTATGCATATACAATGCTCAAATAAAAATTGGATCACCCTTTTTAATTTTGATCTCATGATTCGATCGATTATCGGATCTTCATTCGATTACCGGATCGATTATTTTGATCTAAGTATCGGATATTGGAACTATTTCTTTTAATAAACATGCTTCTTTTCGAGGGAATTTGTTTTCTAACTCCCCAAATAAAAGGGATTGGTTGAATAGTTTCTGAGAAATCGAATTTTAAAGAAATCGTTTATTTAGAAATAGATTTATCAAGAACTATTCAACCGATGTCGCTCAAATTTTGTATTTTGCCACGTAAAATGATACACTTTAAAATTGCATAAAAAATTAATTAAGGAAAACGATAGTTACGAAACCAGACACAAAAAAGTACTTTGTCGAATAAACATACCTATTTTTTGACGTATTTAAATTTCCCACCCCCAAACCATAGGGGGTAGCTGTCATCTGGGAAATAAGGAGAGCGGTCCTAAGTTTAAACCCTTTCATGTTAATTATACTTTTTGCGTATTTCGCCATATCTCTAGAAACTTTTAAAGGAATTAAAAAAGTTTTACACACAATTGTACATGCAAAATTCACTTTTGATAAATTGTCATTATTATCATTTTACTTAATATCGGTCAAAACATTTTTGAATTGTAAGGTATAAATATTTTTAAAACATTTTAAAGAATATAATTTCGCAGGGAAAAATGTTCGCTTAAAAAGTTCTCGAGATATGGCGCGAAATGCGAAAAAAGTAAAATTAACAATAAGGTATCCAAGCTTTGGGCAGCTCCCCTAACCAAACTATTGGGGTCATATTTCCCTAATTACGGCTACCCCCTATATTTTGGGATGTCAGAAATCCGAATCCGTCAAAACAAAAAAAAAGGTATGTTTATTCAGAGAAAGCACATTTTTGTGCCTGATTTCGTTATTTAAAATATCATCTGAACTTATTAATTAGCATGTTTGAGGTCAGCCCCTTAACCCGTTACGATTGAGTCCTAGATCGTGAAGATCCGATCATTAAATTAGAAAATATTCAGGGTGTTCCGTTTTTTTTTTGCCCACTGTACATGCATACATATATTTTGCCCTGATACAATGAGCATATGCATTTACAGTGCCTGGACATATAATTAGATGCACTCTAAGATTCCATGTAGAATTATAATTATCAGACGATACTATACAGCTTTATTGGTTATATTCGGATGAAACAGGTTTGCATTTGTTTACTCTCCTGTATCAATTGGATAGCATTGTAATGCAATACATTAAAAATAAACACACATAGGAAGTCTATAAAAAATCTCCTGAATAAAAAACCCATTACGTGTATGTTTAAATATAAAAGTATTGCCTATAAACTCGTGCAAAACATGTCATTATTGAAACGCTACAGTGCATCTCATAGTTTGGTCTAATTGGGTATAATATGAAAAAAACACAACTACTTCGATTTAGTAGGAACAACATATGACGCAATGCTAAACGAATGGAATTTAGTTGTTGTTTATTTAGTTATTGTTATTAGTAGTTGTTGTTATTTGTTTTAGTTGTTGTTGTTTATTTAGTTGTATTTAGTTTCAATAACTTTTCTTTATAATGCAATAAAATCTGGCGAGCAGCTATTTAAACGATCGAACACTTCGTTTGTTTATTTGTGGCTTGGATCTCGATATGAAGAAAATGCCGTTCATGGGTTAAATTTAGTAGGAACAACACAACCTGTGACGTAGGCTATATTATATCCAATTATTATACTATACTAATATAATACCTGACATAGTAAATATTCTATATTTATATAATGTATCGTCGAATTTATATTAAATATCGTCTCATTTAAGCCATCGATTACACTAACGTAAACAAGTGCAAACAGAAAGAACACTAAAGCTGTTATATTGTATCACCATAATAGAATCTTAATAGTGCTTCTAATAACTTATGCCAAGGATTTTTTCAGAAAAAACACATAAGGATTTCCTCACCAAGTGTTTCTGTGACATATCTGGAGTTCGTTTCTTCCAGGGTCGTGAAGGTGGATTTCCCGTCCACCGTGTAGGGAACGGTGTAGGTCGTGGTCGTGAAGTAAGTGAAAATGACTGTCTTGCTCGGCTGGACGGACATTTCCTCCGGAGTGTCCAGAGAGGTCACAAGTGCATTTCTGTAGGTGGTGCTGAGCCCAAACACAACCGGAACTGATGTCATCGTCATTTCTGAAGTGGGTATCCGACTGATTTTGACGGGTCGTTTTGAAGCTCTCTGCGAACCACGCTCAGCTGTTTTTGTGACCACATAGAAGCGAGGCCGTGTTCTGGTGGTTCTTGATACAGCTCCAGGGGATCGGCGGATAGTTATTTTAAGACGTTTCCTACCTCCAAATTCTAATATAAAATACAAAAATAGTTACATTCTAAAAGTTTTTTTTTAAAGCTTAAAACAGAAACTAATTAATTCGTAATAACCGCTTTCCTTACCAAATTTTATGAGAAAAAAATCGATATATATTTTTTTATTTCTTTAATAAATACAAGGAATTAAAACAAAACATAATACACAAGTCTTAAGCTGACATTTAAATTTTTTTATGTGTAAAAAATATTTAATTTACTATCAGTGTACTATCCCAAATGATCTCGGACAAATGAAAAAAATTTAATATTATTCCTTGAATATTTTCACATCTTCATCATCTGAAAAATCATCTGCCTCACTTTCATTTTCGCTCTCGGAAGCCATTTTTTTTTACTCTTTCTTCTATGTAAATTCATCCACCATCATCGTATATACAATGGTGCAAAACACGTCTTCACTCCCACAAACAACAAAACTCCCAAACAAAACTTGGCAAACTTCCGATCACAGCAGATTATTTTTTGTTTTGCTTCCAGCCGAATAAAAACGTAATAAAGCAAAACGTATTGACGAATTCTGGATAATCAGAGAAGTGATTAATTCATAATAATTTCTAAATGATATTGTGACACATTTTAAATGGAGCAACCTGAAGACCTGATTTTTTTTTTTAAATTATAAAAGAAAAGCATTTTCATCATTAAAATGAAAAAGAATTATATTTGATGCATGTTGTTTTTTTCTCTTCTTCTGAGACCTGCTTGAATCAAAATAATGAAACTTTTTGGTTAAAAGGGTATTTTTAGTGTTGAAAACAGCAAAACCTTTTTGTTATTAAAAGGATTCGCTGTTTTTATAAATTCAAAATATACACGAGTAAGAAAAGGTGTCGCTATACATTTTAAAGTTGAGAAATAAAATCAAAAATACAGATAATAAAAATTAATGAACGAGAAGAAATCATTTGAATTTTTGGTCCTAGATTTTTTTTTCTTTCTAAATTCTAAACAAAGCTTCTATTATGATTCTTCAGAATTTGATAACGTTTTTTTTCAATATTCATTTGTGACCTACACTACATATTTTTGTGTCTCTGCAATGTATTGATTATTATGATGCATTATCGATGCAAACCGCTTCCCTGATTACCCGAGTTAACTCGGGTATGCATATATTGCAAACATTTATAACCCCGAGTAAATTCGGGCATAGCAGAATTCGTCAATATCTTTAGTTTTATTACGTTTTTACTCGGCCGGAAGCAAAGCAAAAAATAAATAATGATCTGCTGTGATTTGAAGTTTGCCAATATTTGTTTCGGAGTTTTGCTGTTTTGTGGGACTGCAGACGAGTTTTGTAGCATTGTATATACCATGTCTGATAAATTTGCATAGAAGAAAAAAGAGTTAAAAAATGGCGTTCACGAGCGAAATTGAAAGTAATGCAGATGATTTTTCAGATGATGAAGATGTGAACCTATACAAAGACTTATATTTAACTTTTTTTTTAATTTGCCCGAGATCATTTGGGATAGTACACTGATGGTCAATTAAATACTTTTTACACACAAAAGTATTAAAATTTCAATTTAGAATTTGTATATGATGCTTTGTTTTAGTTCCTTGTATTTATTAATGAAAGAAAAAAATATGTTGATTTTTTGCATTTTAAAAAAAAATAGGTAATGGAAGCGGTTCATTTGGCAATAAAAAATAAACAAAGTAGTTTAAATTTGCTACAAGTATAATACAAATAACTTACCTTGGCTGCCGCTTTCAGTGACTGATTCAATATCTGATTCAGTAGACGACTCATCATCACCCATCTCTTCTGTGGTGATGTCGGGACTGGTTGCGCTGTCATCATCATCTGTTTCAGGAGAGCTATCCGCTGAGTTCAGAGGTTTAACGCGTACTCGCACTCCCGGTCGAGGCACGAATGTTCTGAGGTTTCCAGGCCTCTGAAGAACTGTCGTTGCAATTCTCAAAGGTCCCCTCAGAGACTGAGTCCTCAGGAGGCGGCTGCTCCCCGGTATTTCCGGTGTTGATTGGTCACTCGATGAAAGCTTCTGGGACCCGACAGAAGAAGAGAAAGACGGTTGAATGGCCACCGTCTGAGGGTAGGTCTGTTGATCTTGTACCTCAGCGTCACCAGGCTCCAAATAGTTGTTATAGACAGCGTCAGTCTCTGATGGCATGATCTCAACTAAAGTGGGAGTGATACTTCCTCTCTCTACCACGGCATTTCGGACGTTGTCGAACTTGACTAGCGTTTGCAGCTCGAGATTGACTTCTGTTGTCGTTCCTTGGGCTGTTCTGAGTCCTAAATTAACGATCTTCTTGTCAGGTTTCAAAGTTAATATACCATTTCCGTCAATAGTGCTTGAAAAATCTTGGGTCACAAACGGTTCTGTTTGGCTATCGATGTTTGAAAGCGTCTCGGACCTTTGGGAGTGTGTGCTTTTGTCATTGTCCTTCAGAGTATAGTAGTAAGTAAACAAGGTGTAGTATGTCTTAGGCAGAGTGGCTATGTCACTCACTTGAACGGTGCTACTGGATATTGAATTTGAAAAACTATTTTCGTAGTGGTTATTTTCCGGAAGAGTAGATCGACCATAATAAACATCACTGTTGTACAGCTGCACCCTGGAGGCTAAGTTAACTATAGTTGTGGTGGCACCTTTAGCTGTAGATCCCAGGGGAACAGCTGTTGGAATTCCAGTTTGGGACGTGAACCCTCCCCTTGTTCGAATAAGACCTACAATGTGTGGATTGAGTGTCTCAGTGGCAACGTTTGATACAACAGCCTCCCTCGTAGAATAGGCCGTAGAAGGACCATTTAGGAATGTTGTCATGTACGTGAAAGTTGTATAATATGTTAAGGGCAAAGCAGCGACATTTGAAGGTTGTGGACTTGTGATATCGTTGCCCCTTATCCTATTGGGCCTTCTTTCATCGTTGTGGGTAGTGATCGCTGGACCTCTTGCTCTGGTGCGTCCATTTTTTGAGTCCGAAGTATCTTCAATTTCTGCCAGAGAATTTATGATTGGCTTCCTGTTTAAATTCTGTCTTGGAGGGGGTGGTGGCGATCGGTTTAGTTGAACTCCTCCCGGTCGTCGTAGTCGAATGACTCTTCGTGGGGAACTGGTTGTCTCTGGCTCATCTCTGCTTTCTTCGGAAGCTGTAGTTGTAGGCACGCTGTCGTCTGCATTTTCGCCATTCCCTCGTACACTTTCGCGAGTTGGAGAATAACTAGGCAAGTGACGTAGTGTATCAAACCCGTCTGCTTGAGCTCTAAGACCACTTTCAGTTGTGGGAATACTCGATGGGTTTCTAACCCTGCCAAATGTGTCAGCTGGTCTGTTTGTTCTAACTGCTTCGAAGTTTTGGGGAGGTCGTATATTTTCGCTTCCCGTAAACGGAGGTTCGAACGGTGAATTTGGCCTGTTAGGAGAAAAGTACTGCGCTCCTCTTATGGGAGCAAAGTTATTCACCACCGGAAAATCCTGAGGAGGTGGAAGTATCATATTGTTTGGGTAGCCACGCACACTTCCGAAGTTTTCATTGGGAAATCTCCTGCCCGGGTAAAAATCGGAGTCTGGAACATTTCTGGGAAAATTTTGTAGATTACTTCTCGCATAATATTCGTCACTCAATCTATCCATTGGCTGATTTCTTGACGTCTCAGGCTTTATTCTACGAATATAAGCCCGTCTTGTGGGTATGACCCTTACAGATGGTATCGGCCGATCATCGTTGAATCTGGGACCTGTAATATGAAAAGTATCAACCCTATATGCATCGGTAGGAGGTTCACTTTCTGTGTATGGCTCTCTATACGCATTTTCGCCTGCATCATCCTCAGTATCATCTACCTGGAGTAATTTCCTAGATTTAAAAGTTACTGAATCCAATGAAGTAAGTTCGAGTGGATTGCGAATATGCAACTCATCTTTAACATACTCATTTCTTTGTAATTGTTTTGAATTGTGGGGCGAAAGTCGTTCGTTATTAATTATTTTGCTTTCATCGGGGAAGCTACTTTGAGATGGTGTATTTTTTAAATGACTAGGAAACTCAACGGGTAGACTATCGTCATCCTCTCTTTCTTTAAAATAGGGAGCGACGCTAGGACGAATAAAGTTAGTTTCTGAAATGTCAAGAACTTGTGTAGAGTTTATGTCGTGGATACTTCGGGCGAATCTTGTGTGACCATTTATGGCGAGAGGTACTGTTATGGTTGTTACTATAGAAAAAACCTCCCCGTCCGGGGCTGTAAACCGGACAGTGACGTCCGTGGTGACCGATGGTAAAATAAAGACAGGTTGGGGGAAAACAAAGGGATGGGCCGTCGGAAGTTGCGGAACTTTGACTGTGGCTGTTTTGACTAATGTGGTTTCGCTTAAAGTAGTACTTGTAAGAGTAGTGAGAATAGATTTTCCATTCAGAAAGATTGGGAGTACAGTGGTCGATGTTACTGTTTGTGTTGAAACGAAAGAGTTTTCGGAAAGAGATAAAGAAAACCCGTTGTTCTGAACAGAGGGAGCGAATGGGTTGGGGAAATATGGATATTGTGGTGGGATTTGAGATAGTGGGGTCTTATCTTCCAGAAGTGTGTTAGTTTGTGTAGCTAGAATGGTCATGATTTGCCTGTTCACAATATTTTCTGTTCGAGTACCGTAACCCATTTTAATGGCAACTAATGAAGTTGTTTCAATAGTTGTCGTCGTTAGTAATATTTCAGTCACAACCGTAAATTGTTGGTCAGGGGGCAAATTTGCGTCTGGGAAATTTGTAACTGCTGATAACAACGTTTTAGTGATGCCACCAATAGTGTATTTCGTTAGATCTTCTGTTTGAATTGTACTTGTTGAATATCCTGTTGTGGTGATCGTTGCAAACGAAGTGCGCAAACCTAAATGGACAGGTAGAGTTTTTGTTGTAGTAAACTTTTCCGTAACTGTTATGGGGCCAACTAATTCTTGGGATGTGGATGAATCGAAAAATACTGGAGTTGGTTGTATGTCGGGGTCAGAAGAAAACTGCGTGGTAGTGGATGTGGCAGAAGATTTTATGGTCCTCGGATCAAATTTGGGTGGTCGCGTTGTTCCTCTGGATCTTCCAAACACCGGAAGAGGTAATACTCTTGGTTGAACTTCGTTCTCCTCGTTTTCAAACCCTGCCTGGAAATTACTTTTCCGTAAACTTCCGAAATTTGAATTAGAATTGTGTTTTCTGTTTTTACGCTTCTTAACTGAAGTATCTTCCTGAACATTATTCAAAATTTCGGAATCTCCTTCATTCGATAATAGAAAGCTTGCTGTCGGATTTAAGCTGAGCGAAAACGTTGTGGTCAATGTAAAACGTCTTTTGCTAGAGGTGCTATCCGGTGTATCGGTCATAGTAGGTGTCACTTCTCTACTGCTAGGGGGTCGACTGTTGGTTTTACGTTTATTCGAACTAATATAGTTGTTCTTAGTGGACGATCGAAACCTGTTCAATGTAGAAGATGTTCTGATCGACATAATTCGAGATTTTGACCTCGAACGATCAGCCTTAAGAGAAGAATGATTATTCTTTTGCACTTTAGAAGGTCGATTTAAACGAAATTTCGGTAAAGGTTTTGATTGAAATGTCTCCTCAGTGACTAAATCAGTAAGAGCTTCACTTGCGTCAAAGTCAACATCATCATCTTTAAGTACTTCCTCTGGCTCTTTTTTTCCAAACTTATGCGTTCTTCCCATTAAGGATTTGTAGCTGCTGGATGAAGTAGGTTTTATGGAGGAAGTACTTAGTCTACTCGTTGATGAAGATCTCAAACCTCTTGACAGGAACGATGGCAGACTTTTTGATGGCTTGCTGTAAGTAGCAGAAGATCTTGCACTGCTGCGGAATCCTCGAGTAGTGGACGCTGTATTGGTACTTCCGAATCTCCGGAAACTGGTCGAAGAAGTAGGAGTTGAACCGAAGCGTCTGTTAAGGCTTCTAGATGCAGATCGTTTCTTCCTGCTACTGGGATCCTGCTCTTTTATTGGAACAACGTGTTTTGTATTTTTTCTCTTTTTAAAAATGGTTGTTTTGTTGATGTTTAATCTCATTTGATGCTTTGATTTAGAGAGATCACTTTTAAAATGACTAGACGTAGCAAACGGTTCAGTGAAGTCAGAATCTGGTAAGGGATTCGTCATTATAGAATGGGAGCAGTCGTACGGCTTTCTGCGAGAAGCAGTAGAGTCTAGAAATGAGCTTTGAATGTCGGGATAGCTCCTTTTCTGGAGGTGATGGAGCGTATCAGGAGAAAATGATGTTCTTAAAGCTTCTGGTAGCAGTATGGGTGTCATCTGATGGGGAAAAGTGCTGGACAGGAGATTTTCATACAGAAAATGTTCCTCAGGAAATTCGACATCAAAGCCTACTTCTTTTTTGCTCAAGTCTGCACTGTTTGCTTCCGCAAAAGAAGAACTATTTGCATTGCTTTCAGCATGTGTTGAAGAGACTATGACATTGGTTGAAAATATCGATAGAATTTCAAATTTTGGGGTTGGTGAAATATTTGCTGTATTTTCTTTCATCTTCCGATCATTGAATTTTTCGAAAATGTCTCGAGCCCCATTTATTACCTCTTCTCCAGTAGAGGCTTCTTCCATGAATTCAATTTTCAGACTTTTGTCAGGTATTGAAAGTGAATTAGTAATAATGGATGAATTCGATTGAAGAGTTAAATAATTGGGTACCTGAAGAGTTTCGGTAGAAATGCTAGGAACATGAGCGTATGTTCCGTCTAAGTAAGTTCCATATACTTCAAAGTGATAGCGTATGGTCGTTGCATTCATAATTCTATCACTTACAGAGGCTGTTACAAGACCTGTTGTCAAATCATCGATGTGAAACGTTGACAGACTTGTTGATGACGGTTCTATGGAAGAAGTGGAGGAAGGAGTTATGGTACGCGTTGTGTACGTGCCCAGGTGAGCATATGCACCTCCAATATGCGTGCCGTAAATTTCTGATACGAATAACAATGTCGTGGATCCTTCTATTTTGCTCCTCACTATTCTTGATGACAGGAGGCCGGTTTTTCTCACTCCCGAAGTAGATGTCGCAGCGATGGGCGCTAGCTTAAAACTGAAAGGTTCTCTCGTGGAAGAAAGAGGTTGAGAACTGGTGAACACCCTGGCTGTCTGAGCATAAGCATTTCCAATGAATACGCCATGAATTTCCGTGGTGAGGTGAACTGCGACCGGACCACGAACTTTACGTGACACCACGCTTTGCACAAGTCCCGAAAGTCGAGACGGGGTGATGGGTTGCAGTGGCGCGGTGACTGATATATCTATATCTGTCGTCATGGGAACGATGTCTGAGTTTGATTTTGCTCTCTGAGCATAAACGCCATTGACGTAGGTTCCATATATCGTGGTTGTGTACTTGGTCATTCGGCCGTTGCGCTTTACTGTGGATGTAGCGAACAAAATTATTTCCTCATTCTGGGACTCGGATGAGGATGCGCTTACTGTAGCTGTTACTTTCGGGACAGAATATTTGTGAGTAATGGAGCTTTTGAAAGTAGAATCTGGTTGAGAAACGAGATTTAATATTTCAAAATTTGTGCGATCCTCTTGCTTTGAAATTTTGAAGTTCGAAGATTGTAAATATTTCAAGTAAGCAGCGTAAGCTTTACTATATTGAGCGCTGTTAAGAAATGCGTCATCTTCGAATTTTGTTGAGGAGTTTTCTGTTCTTGAAAAATTGTTAAATTTGTTCTTTTTTAAATCATTCAAATTGTCTTCTGATGCTTTTTCCTCGTTAGTTTCATTTTCATAGTAAGCATCATTCATTTTGGCTTCCAAATCAAGCGAATCATTCAGAGACAAAAGTTTTCTATGAAAAAAAGAATTTTCTGCAGTTTTAGCAACCCTATTTTGCTGCACAGGTGTCGAATGGATGGATTCACTGCGTCTTAACTTGACAACTGTCGGGACTATGACGTCACTTAATATTTCAGTTACAGTATGCTCTCGACTTTTTATGACAGGATGCCCACCTGCTAACTCCGTTGTGAAATAAGTATAGGTTGAATAAAAAGTTACCATGGATGGTTGCATGGGTATATGAGTCTCCATAACGTTGTGCTTCTTTTCGTAATCTTTTAAGAAGTTGGGTTTTATTTTATCGTTTTTATTGAGTCCGTGATGAGGTGTCACGTTAAGTCGCCTTTGTGTCGGTAATAAATAATATGGTTTTTGAAAGCGTGAAGCACTGTTTTGATTCTGTTGTTCTTGTCGACGAATTGTATCGCGTCTCGCTGAAGGAGTATTATACGCTTTAAGTGTTCCGGTAGGTTGTATTTTATTGTAATACACAGATGAAATTATTTTAGTACTAGACTCAATTTCCTTCTTATTACCTGGCTTCAGTGAAGTTTTATAGTATGTATGGGTTGTATAATGGGTAATAGGAATTGCGCGTTCATGTCGGTTTAAAAAATTTAAATCATTGCTATTGTTAGCAACAGAGTCTTCTTCATTTGATCTTAAAAGTTTTCGCTTGAAAAAGTTTTTCAGTTTTCTTTTGAAGAGTTTTTCATTGATATGTCGCTTATTTCTTCTGTAAGGGGAAGCTGAGCTTTGATGGAGTACACGTGATACTGTTGGTACAATAACATCTGTCAATATCTCTGTTACTGTGTGTTCTCGACTTCTTATGTAGGGTGAGCCCTCTTTAAGTTCCGTTGTGAAGTACGTATAAGTAGAATAAAATGTTACTGCTGTCGGTGTAATGCCTTCTCCGGGGTAAAAAACCGCGTTTGTTGTCTTTTCGGGAAGTTTTTTGTACGTTGCAGGATTAAATACTGGAATGCTTGTTAAGTAGGGAGTCCGAGCTATGTATTGGTCAGGTTTCTTATTGCGAAAATCATTATTATAATTGTTTCTTCTTCTATAATTGCAGGATGGGCAATCAGATTTAGTAGGTGTGTCATAGAAGGGTCCTCGCACTTTATCAGCAAACGATGGTTTATAGGGTTGATTAGAACGATAATTTGGAATGGCAGAATAAGTTCTTACAACTGCGCTGTCAGCTCTCAAGTCGTAAGCTCTTGTGGGTCGTATGAATTCTGAATCGCAACATTTCCTTCCCTCTTTTGCCCTCAACATATTTTCACTCTTTTGATGAGCCGGAGCATAAGCTGGATCATAGAGTGTGGAGGAGACGACTTTTGTTTTCGTTTCTATTTCTCTTTGACCACCCGGTCTCAAAATGGTTGCGTAATAAGTGTAGGTTGTGAAATAGGTAGAGGGTGGGGCGCGTGACGAATAAATCATCTCAGCTCCGTCTGCGGTCAGGTCAATGTCGTCAAGCTTTGGTGAAAACTTGTATGTTTCTGTAGGACTGAGTTTACTAGGATCTGTATCCGCGCTTTGATTTCGTGTCCAGGAGTGTGACAACTTTCTGTCGATGCTTTGACTTGATATCAAATCAGCACTGACCGAATTGTTTTCTGAAGTTTCAGTTTTTAATCTATCTGTCATTGCAGATGATGAAACTTGCAAGTGCGGTGTCTTCTGTTCAAAATTCCCTATCGTGTTAAGACTTTTTGCACTGTTTTTTGATTCCATGTCCGTTTTGAGATTTGAACTTACGGTATTAATGGAATGAGTCAATGTTTCGATAGAAGAAACCAGGATATCTGACGGATAAACTATAGTTTCATTAAAACCCTCAACAGTTGTAGGTTCTGTTACAGCAGTTATTTTAACTGTTTCATTCTGAGTCATTCCAGGAATGCTCTCCTCATTTTCAGCAATCGGTGCATTACTAAGCGTTAGACCTTCAAAATTTAAAATTTTAAAACCCTCAGTTGTATTAGTTTCAAATGGAGTGCTTGGGGTATTGAAAAGTGCTTGTTCTTTCGAATTAGAAAGTGTGCCTCCGTTATTCATTTCAGTGTCAGAAATTGAAATTGTAGTGTTTTCTGGTTGATCCATTAAAATGCTTGGAAATTCTTTTGAATCAGAGCTTTCGGTACTTATTGCACTATCATTAACTTTATTTGTGACACTTTCAGGTTGAGTGCTCGAAATGTTAAAAAACATGTTGAAATTAATGAATGAGCTATCCGTATTTATTTCAGCATCATAAATTGTAAATGTAGTGCTTTCTGGTTGATTTATTAAAATATTGGGAAACTCTTTTAAATGAGAACTTTCGGTGCTTATTACAGTATCATTAACTGTATTTGCGACACTTTCTACTGGAGTGTTCAAAATCGTGTTCAAATTAGTAAATGAGCGATCTGTATTTCTTTCGACATCAGAAAGTGAATTTGTAGCGTTTCCTGTTGCAGCAGTCGTAATGTTGGAAGATGTAGTTTCTTCCTCATCTGCTGCCACACTCAAGAGTTTTCTAGAATGTGTTTCTACAAGATTTCTTTTCGCTCGTGAATGCGTTGTCCTAGAAATAGGATTTCGTACTGTCGGTACGATAACATCGGAAAGAATTTCCGTCACCGTGTGCTCTCTCGTTCTGACAATAGGAACTGAACCACCCAGTTCAGTCGTGAAATACGTAAAAGTTGAATAGTAAGTGATGCGTGTTGGTGTTATTTTATGACTATCATTCTTTTGAAATCGCTTGGAGTCTGGTACATTTTGCGGTTCTCTCACATCATCGTATGCGATTCGTCTGTCCTGCCTGTTTGCAAGTCGAATATTTCTCCCGTCATCTCTCTTAGCTCGTATTCTGTCTCCAAATTTCAAAGTAGGGAGGACTACGTCAGAGTACACCTCGGTGACTGTATGTTCTCTCGTTCTCACAACTGGTAAATCTCCTCTCGCCAGTGTTGTGGTCGCATAGGTGTATGTAGTGAGGTGTGTGGCAGTGCTCGGTCTGACCACTCGGTCGTGACCCAGAACGACGGTCCGGTCACTTGGTGGAGGAACTCTTGTTCTACCTTGTCCTCTGCAACTGGGACACTGATCTACATTGAAATCGTCATAGTGAGGTCGATTGTAGAGTGTTGTTACACCATGATTGACGGGGAGTGCTGGATTTGGCGTTAGGTTGGTTTCGGTCACGTACCTCGTATCTACATGCACATCGCCTCCCCTGAGTTTAGTTGTATAATATGTATAAGTCGTTCGGTGCGTGATATAAGGGTCGTAATGATCGTGATGAGGGTGATCGTCGTAAGAAATAGCCGTTCTTTCAACAGGACGGGTAATCACCCTACTCGGAATTAATCTTGTTCTCTGCAAGGGGGTAGACCTGGTATAGGTAGGTATGGGAGTCACATTAGTTTCCGTCTCTTTTCTAGTGTTCACAATCGGTACTCCGTCACGGAACCTCGTCGTGTGATACGTGTACGTCGTTCTGTGCGTCACTCTGTCAGGCTTGTACAAATTGGGATCGATGGGTTGGGAATAAACGGGGAATCTTTCGTTTTGAGTGTACAAAACACCGCCGTGTCTGTGTATCGTTGGGATAGGGGTAACGTTTGTATCGGTTTCTCTTCTGGTTTCAACTATCGGCGAGCCATTCCTAAATCTGGTAGTAAAATAAGTATACGTAGTTCTATGAGTCATATCATGAGGTCCAACAATATGCGGGGCTTCCGTGTGGTGAGGATGCAATTCTTCATCGTCTGGTTCATAATATGTACCGATTTCAAACGGTGAATACCGCCCTGCGGACGGTATCGGTGTCACGTTGGTTTCAGTTTCTTTGCGAGTTTCAACAAACGACGTACCTCCCCTAAATCTAGTTGTGTAATATGTGTAGGTAGTTCTGTGTGTTATTTCACTCGCTCTTTCAAGGTCATAAGGGACAGTCTCTATATGATGATCATGCGTTGAGGGTATCTTTGGATAATGTGTGACGTATACGCCCTCTCTTCCGTCGCCGTGAACGTGACCACCGCAACACGGCTGGTCGTCATCAGATCGATCAGAAGGATAAACGGTTTCCACTTCCAAACTACTTTGGATTTGTGTACCTCCCCCTGGTTTTAGGATTGTTGTGAAATAAGTGTAGGTGGTGTAGTGAGGAGTTAAATAAACTCGGGCGTCGGTAGAAATGATTCGCCCCTCCGGATTGAGAACAGTCACTAAAGTTGGAACATCTCTCCTCTTCCTGGATTCAGGCTCATTTGAGACAGCTTCAGGCTCATTTGAATCAGCTGATGTCGTTATAGGTGAAGGGTTTGCATTTAAGGATTCAAGAGGAGGAGATGTATGAGCAGTGTCAGATTCTATACTTGGCATTAAGAAAACTGGCGTATCAGACACTTTCTGAGGAACAAGCGTTTCGAACGTAAAGCCGAAGGAAGATTCGAGGTTTAGATTGCTTGCAGTGGATACACTATCAGATTTAGTATTCGCAATGGCAATGTTATTTCTATCGTCAGGTAAACTACCTGTGATTTTAGAAGTTGATAAGGAATTTGTAGTTTCCGTTACTGATATGACAGATGTGTCATATTCAGCAGGAGTATTCATGACTGTAGTTGAAGTTTGTGAATCAGGTATGGACACAGATTCTCCAATTGGGCTGTTATTTAATAACACTTTCCCTGAGCTGTACTTATCATTAATACTTTTACTGTCTAGATTTTCATCCTCAAGAGTTTTAAGGGAACTAAAAACTTCTACAGGCAACGGAGGAGAGGCAATAGTTTCAAGAAGAATATTTTCATCTTTGTGATCATTCGATCTTGTCTCATCTGTTAATACTTTTACTGTCTGAAGATTTAATCCTGTTTTGGAATCGCTATCATTTGTTTTCAAACCATAGTCCATAATGGTGCTCTCTGTTTTTGCCATTCTCCCTACAATGTTTTGTAAAAGAGCATCCTCTTTGGAATGGACAGTTTCATTGTTTGGAGCGATACTTTTCTCTGTTTGCATCATTTTATTGTTCGAAGTGACAGGCTTATCAGTTTTCATCATTTCATTATTTGGAGCAATACTTTTCTTTAGATGTGTCATTTCAGTGTTTGAGGCAATATTTCCTCGTATCAAAGAATCATTTGAAGACATGTCTTTCTCTGCTTGAACCATTTCGTTCTTTGAAGCGATAGTACCTATTGATTCACTTTCTGTAAATACTTTCGAAAGTGCATCCAAGCTATCGCCATTAGAAGCTGAACTCATTTGTATTAATGTATTTTCCTCAATAACGGAAATGGACGGATCTAATAAATGAAACTCTTTTTTACTGGAAGAAGTATCAGGAGTCTCTGAGTTCAGAAGGGTTGAATGTAGGACTGGAGTTGGCTTTACTTGTGGTTTACCGTCAAAAGCTTCACTTTCTATGTCGGAAAAAGAGTGTTCGTTAGATATTGAGACAGGATCAGTTGTTTCATAGATTGGTGAGGATGCAAAAGTGGGAGTTGCTAGCTCATCGATTCTTGAAACACTAGTTGGAGTAATAAAATCAGTAGTCTTTGTCTTTTCAACTGTGAAGAAAATGCGTGAAGTACTATGTATAATGTGAGCATATGTTCCCTTAACGTACGTACCTTCGACAATCGTAGTCCATGCCGTTGTTCGACCCTCCATGACGTCAGTTCCTGTGGTCGACAGTATAATACCAGTCGTGTGAAGTTGTGAAGCTAAAGCAATGTGACTTATATCAACTGTCGATACAGATTTTTTGACTCGGTAGTTTTTAAAATCACCCTCCTTGCTTGTGACGGACAACAATTTCCTATGAGCGATTCCTTCTTTCTTTCTTTCATTAAATTTTTGAGAATCGTTTTGATATAAAAAAACAATTTTCTGCATTATGTCACTCAAATGCTGTTTGGAATACAAATTTTTTCGCATTTGTTGCTCCGTTTTTTTATGGATGATTTTCTTGGGCAATTCGTGATCGAATTTTATTAAAGTAAAAGTCGATGTCGGAATAATAGACACTGGTTCGCTGACAGCCGTTTGATAGATATTTCCTGACACGAGGGATCCGTATGATTCCGTTTCTGTACCTACTCTGTATGCATTTCTTGATGAGACTCTCTGACTATTCGTATTATCCAATAATTCTTTTGTAGGCAGATGTAGTCTCTTGCTCTGTATGATGTAAGGAAATTGTTTCTTACGATATTTGTCCGAAATCATTCTTGCAGATGGACTAGAATAGTCTTTCCAGTTGTCTTCTATTTTCATGCCTTCTTCCAAGGGGTTATCTATACTCAAATATTTGAAAACAACATAGTATAAGTTAAAAATGAAAATATGCATTGTAAAGCTGCCAATCACAAAAGCATTTGCTTATCTTGAAGCTTATGGAAGAAGCTGTTCTTGGCGCGAAAGCACACATTCAGCTGAAAGCAGGTTAAAAGCAAGTCGAAATTCTATTCCTTTCTCTTTTATCGAAAGAAGTTTAGAATTTCAACAATGTCACTTGAATTATGTAAGCAATTTCTTCTTTTACGATTTCTTCTTTTTTTATGTACATTAATAGTTTCTTCTCCCCTTTCATACGCTTAAAAAGCATTTATTATTTCTGAAGCTTTAGTCGTAGACAGCATTTTTTAAGTTATGAGTCTGCATCTTTTTAGTTGATACATTTGTTTGTAAAGTAAGGTAACTCAAGAGACTTGAATTAGAGTTATACTGCAGAAATAAATGCAAATGCGAAATCACTGCTAATTAAATGCAAGTGGTTACTGTAGTTACCACATTTGGTAAGTTCACATTATGGGGAATTTAACTTTTTGTTTGGACACTGTAAATCGTTATAGAAATATTCTTGTTCATTTTCAAGAGAAGAAATTAAGCGTGAACTCCTGTTCCTTATAGTCTCTCGTGTTTTAAGAATAGTGCATGTTTGTGATATTGCGCAACGAAATCTGTATCATATTTATAAGATCGAGTTTGGGTTCAAAAACATTTCTTAATTGAGTGTCACAGAAAAATCATTTTCGAATTTATGTTTTGTATTTTAATTGTTTATGCATCGCATCCCAGTTAAAATGTCACCATCAAAAATACCCGAGTTTAAAATGTGTTTATTATAAAATAAGTAATAAAAAAAGTAAATTCTCCGATTTAGTGGCCTTATAAGTATTGTTGTGTAAAATGTGGTTTTGGAGTAGTGTCTCAAATATACTATTAAAATTCGAATGATAATGTTTGGTGAGGTGATGTTTGAATCCATGATCTGTTTCCGAGCAATAAAGCTGTAGGCTATAGTCATTATATGAAAGCATTAGATGCAAGCGCTGTAATGGGCATAGAGAGAAACACACATTAAGCAACTAAAGAAGCACATTATTAGCATAATACACAAATAAAAATATAATACATAAGTACAATATGTAAACTAATATAAGTACAATTTTATCTTGTTTTACGTATGCAGTGAAACAAAACACAGTCCCTGACCAAATTATCAGACGCACTCTAACATTCTATAGAATATGTTAATCAGGGGATACTCTATACAGCTGTATTGTTTTTACGAAACCGGTTTGCACTTATTTACGTTAGTGTATCAATGGGTTAATATTGTAATAAAGTATGTTAAAAATAAATACAGATAGGAAGTATATAAAAATCTTCGGAATAAAAACCCATTACATGTATGTTTAAATATAAAAGTAATGCCTATACACTCGTGCAAAACATGTCATTATTAAAAAACTACTCTAATATAATATAATATACTGTAATATATAATAATGTGCTAATATAATACCTGATGTAATAAATATTGTATATTTATATTATGTATCGTCTAATTTAACCCATTGGATACACGAACGTAAACAAGTGCAAACCGGTTTCGTAAAAACAATAAAGCTGTATAGAGTATCAAGTATATCACCTGATAATTAAGATTTTACATAGAATTTTAATGTGCGTCTAATAGTTTGGCCAGGGACTATAATTCATTAAATAATAGGTTCAATAAAATTTTAGTGAATTATTCTAATTTTGAAGATTACGTAATTCAGGTTCTTGTAAAAAGTAGCTCAAAAACTAGCCAAGGACAAAATTATTTTTTTGTAAGAAGTTAAAGAATGCAATTTTGTAAAAAGGTTAAGATTTTTCTTAATATTTTCTTGTGTAACTTTACGTAAACTTTGTTATTCCCAAAATTTACAGATATATTGTAAAAACTAGAAGAAAAAAATTAAATGCGAGAGAATCTAATAATGAAGCAGCTGCATCGAGTTGCTTAATATCTTGTTGCCATTAATGTGAGCGCAACAAATAAACGGACCACTCTAAATATCTTTTGATGGGATCGCAATTAATACGTTGAATTCCATGGGGATCCCCGGTGACCTGCACTGAGTTTGTTCGTAGTGCCACGGGGGTCACCGGTGTCCGGCGAAGCTAAGAAACACATAATTCGAGTAAATTTCTAATGCTTTTAATTTTTTTTAATATTATTATCGTTACCAAAATGGCTTGAAGAAATGAATGCAATACATACTGAGAAAATCATTTTGGCCAGACGGGCAAGCCATGTTAAATAAGCTTGACATTCAACGTGTTAATTAGTGTAGACGATATTTTAAGTTACAAAATCATATACAACAACGTATTTTTTTCTGAATAAACATAACTTTTTTTTTGTCTGATTCGAATTTCTGACCACCAAAATATAGGGTGTAGAAGCATTCTGAGGGCCCTGATTTTTTAGTCGAGAGGTCAGTCCGAAGTTTGAAATTCTAAATGTTAATTTTATTTTTTACGTTTTTCGCCTTGTCTCGAGAACATTTTAAAAGAATCGAAAAATTTTTGCAAACAATTATAAAATTCGTTTAAGAAAAGAAAATTATAAAAAAAAAATAACTTTTAGTAAATTTATATTATTCCATTTAATAGTAGCCAAAAAAAGTTTACGTCCCTTTAAAGAATTTAATTTTACGCGGCAAAAAGCAAAATTTGTGCAAAATTGGCCGAATTGTTTTTGAAGATTCGAATTTCAAAAATACGTCTTTTTTAGAATTTGATTTCTCAGCAACTAGTCGATCCCTTTCTTTCAAAGTTTGTATTTTGTCATTTAAAAATGCATTCTTTAAAATGATATAAAAATTGTATACCTTACATTTCAAAATTTTTTCAACTATTATTAAATAAAATAATAGATATATACTAAAAGATATATTTTGCATGAAATTATCTTTAGATATATTTATGTGGAGAAAAAAAACTTTTCGATTCGTTTAAAAAGTTCTCGAGTTATGGTGAAATACGCAAAAAGTAAATTAACATTAATGGGTTCAAACTCTGTGATTGCTCTTGTGACTATATTTCCCAGATAACAAACATTAAGATTGGGCCCTAGAACGCAAAGATCCGTTTATTAGATCAAGAATTATTCAGAGTGGCCGTTTTCTATTTTGCGCACTGTGCACCAAAATGTTAAAAGGTCATAAATCGCATTTTAAGGATAGCACTATTAAGAAACCACAATTATTAAATTTGACATCTAAGCAGTGATCGCCTTTCTCAATAATTACGGTTATTAAATTAAATTAGTTTTTTTTGTGATCGCATATTTAATTATCATTATTAAATATTAAAGATTTTATTTAATATTATTTTATAGATAGATTTATATATATTTTAAATTGATTTATTATTTATATTTAGTATATAGAATTTATTAAATATTATTGTATCATTATTAAATATTATTTAATAACCGTCGTTGAACAGCCGACCCATTTTTTGGGTGTACGACTTCTAATGTTCAAATCCGTAGCCTTTTCATTTTGAACCCAACTCCAGAAGACAAGAGAACTCCTGGATCAAGTATTGGGAGACATTTTGCCTTCGTGGAAGACTTTTTGAGTGAACTAACCCGCATATGCTTCACATGGAGAGGACGACCACGAGAACCTCACACGGTTAACCTGACGGTAAAGGGACTCTAACCCTTGATCCGTCTGCAGCTGACGATATTTCACGCCGAGATTGTGGTCGGTGCAAGCCGGATGCGTATTCATATTAACCAGCCATCGCTGGGATTCGAACCCGGTTCACCTCATTCGAAGGCTCTATCCCCTGAGCCGCTGCTCTTCTAACTCTAGTAATTAAATTAAATCGCATCTTTAATGATGTTGTAATTAAATCGCCTTTTAAGATTAAATCTCTAATTAATTACAGTTCTTGAACTGCATCGTATCACCTTAACTAAAACAAAAATATTGAAACATTTTAAAATCTTTTTTTTTCTATTCAGACTGCGTTTAAATAATTATTTATTTTGGAATTTAATGGAAATAATAACCATGATAAAAGTTGCTATTATTAAGCTATAACAGTATTATTTTTGTTTTATAGAAGAAATAATTAAAATAAAGTGGGTGTTTAATGTTTATCAAAAATGAAACTAACCTATTTGTCTTTTCTTTCTTCGTTTTTCCATGGCCATAAGATCTTGTAGTCTATTTTCATCTGGGCATGTTTTATTCAATGCATCTTCTGCAATGGAAGAGTGTAGTATTAACCTCACTCCCGACAAATAACTATTTTCATAATTTTGAATGTTTTACAGTCATGAATTATGTTTTAAGATAAACATTCATAAGAGACAAACAGTAAAGTACAGAAGCATGGGATAGCCTGGTCGGTAGGGGGCTGGGCCCATGTCCGAGAGTTCCTGCGTTCGAACCCCGCCGGCCGAAGACTCCCCGTGTAGTAAAATGGTGACTGATGCAAGCTAAATCAGCAAAGTCCTCCATGTTCCCATAACAAATCAATACCTCGTGGTATACTGGATTGGAAATGGATCGTTCTCTGATTCAGGTCAAAATTACGATCTGCGGATGAAAGAATGGGTCAGCCCTATAAACGGGCGTGACGTATGGCAGAATTCTGGATCATAGATGGCGCCACTGGAAAACAAGAACAATCGCATCCCCCTGCCTCAACAGGCATACGTCAACAACGGTAAAGTACAGTATTTCTTAGTATGGCTTCGTTACATTGTGGAGGCTTATAGACCCACAAAAAATGCCCTCTTTACATAGGGTTTCTGAAAGGACCTCTAGAAAATTCCAGAAAACTATCCGAAAAATGATATTCAATCCCGGTTCAGATAAGTCTCGGAAGCGCAACAAAAATCAAATGAGTCCGTCTTCAAATGGGAGAATCTCCGAATTCCTTGCTGTTGTTCATCATAGAGTTCCCAACAATAGGGAGCATCAAATAAAATTTAAGAAATATATACACTTTTAATAATTTTGTAATTTGTTTAAAGTGAATGACTTAAGTAAATGACCGGAATAAATGATTTTAAAAAATATGTTATGGATGCAGGAATTGTGACAGATCAAAAAGTAAATTCAAGATAAGTAGTTGATTAAAAAGCATTTATATAACAGATTTAGGCAAGTTGACATTAAAAATATTTTTTAAAGATTAATTTAAATTAAGAGAGGACAACATAATTTGGATTGAAAAGCTTTTTTAAAATTTGCATAATTACTTTTAACTTTGCTCTTTTGTTTAGTCAGTGTATAAAAAATTCAAGCAATCTATTCATCAGCAAATAAAGGTTCGCAAATTCGTGTTTGTCCCGTTTAGGAAACCCTTAAACTTTGTCCCATGAAGATTTCCAAAATGGTACTCATTTAATTTAAATCTAACGGAACTTCTTATTTATTCTGTCTAATGAATATTTAAAAGGAAAACAGGTCTTTGATTTATTTTAAGTCTTTCTTACCTTCGTCCGACCCATCGATACAGTCCTTGACACCATCTTTGACCCTATGTCCATCTATGCAGTGGGGTAACCCACACCGGCAACGGTGCTGACCTCGGCTGCATTCTGAAAGTAAATAAAAACATTTTAAGCTACATAATTTGAATTTTGAAGAGTACATAACATTCAGCGTCACTGGGAAACTTCATAAGCTTTTTTTTTATTGCAAAATTCATTTACCGCGAATGGCCATAAGACCACATTTTTTAAGCAATATTATGTTAAAATGTTTATGGAATTTAAATTGATTCATAAAAAGAATTTTCTAACCAAAAATCAACTTGATTTTTAAGACCATTTTTCGAGTTGGAAAGGTGGATGAGGTTAAAGTGGTGTAAAGGCTTCTTGAATTTCTGTGATTATAAATAGCGGAATCGATACGTTCTGTGTTTATAACTAATAGACTCGATGATAAACGAAGGCACAGTTGTCAATGGCTCTCTCTCTCTCTGTCATTTACATCCCAAGACAAAATTCTGGATGGTTCCATCAAAACACTTCGATGGTTTATGTTTGGTTTCAGTGAGATTCCTGATGGTCCAACAGCATTGGATGGTCATCATCATCATCATCCAACATTTTCCATGACGCGGTTTTGATACTCCAACAAACTTTCATCGCACCATGATGGAAAATGTTACTATGATGGTTTATCCTCAAGAGAATTTACACTCTCATGGACACACAATCCTTGATGATCCGTGATAGTTCATGATGATTTCCGACTATACATTTCCCATGATGGGAGTGCTTGTTGGTTCTCAGGAATTTTCGATTTTTGGTTCTCAGGAATTTCGAAAAAACAATTTTCGATTTTTTTTCTTTCGTTGTACCGTCCTACATCAGTCCCAATTCCTACATTGGAATGATGGTTGTTCATGATCCTTCCAACATTAGATTTTGAATTTTGTTAATGAAATTAAATTGGAATTTCTTAAATGCAAATTTATTTAAGAATCCTCGTCATTTAAAATTTTGTATTCTCTTGCTTTAAAATCGAATGAATGATAAGAATAACTAACCTTCGTCTGATCCATCGTCGCAGTCTGGCCACCCATCGTGGAATCTTTCGTTCGGAATACACTGATGTATAGTTTGGCACTGAAATTCTTCCCCGATTTTACATTCTAAAATTGAGAAAACAGAAAATCAATTCATTCCCTTTTGAAATCACAACACACTATAACAACAGATTTTGTAAACAATAAAGTGATCCACATGTGTAAATAAATACAAAAAGTTTTTGTTCATTGTTTCGGTCGATGTATCCCCCCCCCCCTATCATAAACATCATTTTAAATATTTTATTCACTAAATCACGCGTTATTGAAATTTTTATTTAAAAAAAATTTAAAATAAATTACGATCAGAACCTTCAGAATGTTTCTTCAGAAACTTTTTCAAAATCCGCGAAAGCCTATCCGTTAACACTTTGAGTTTTAAGACTTACGGTAACAAACTGTTTTCCATATTTACGCGATATGATCGTGAACAAATGACGTTTTTTATTATAAACAAACTAAAATAAAAATATCTTTCACGGTTAATTGTTAAGCACATAAAACACCCGATTTTGACAGCACATTCCGCAGCTAGTTTTATTACAACACTTGGACAAACTCAAAAAATACAATAATTGTTTACTGACTGTACAGTCCCTAGCCTAATTATTAGAAGCATTATAAGATTCTATATAAAATAATAATTATCAGGTGATACTCTATACAGCTTTATTGTTTTCAAGCGACTGAAACCCGTTTGCACTTGTTTACGTTCGTGTACCCATTGGTTAAAATAGATGATATAAAATATAAATTCGACAATGGGATAAATGAGACGATACATTATATAAATATAAAATATTTATTATAACAGGTATTATGTTGTAATAATTAGATCCAATTATTAAATGCACTGTCGTTTTTTAATAATGACATGTTTTTACACTAGTTTATATGAAATACTTTTATATTTAAACATACATGTCATGGGTCTTTATTCAATAGATTTCTTATATACTTCCCATGTGTATTTATTTTTTAACGTATTGCATTACAATGCTGATCATTTGATACACGAACATAATCAAGTGTAAACCGGTTTCATCCGTGCAAAAACAATAAAGCTGTATAGTATCGCCTGATAATTAAGATTTTACATAAAATCCAATAATGCGTCCAATAATTAGATATAAATATGAATTAGAATTAAAATTTTTCTTTGTATAACTTTATTGTTTTTGTTTTAAACTTAATTTAAATGTCAGAACTTTTAAACTATTTAATAATAACAATGAAACTAAAATGTGTGCTTTTGATTTATTTATAATATTATTTTAAAAACATTCATTCTTGAGATATAGATAATAAATATTTATGATAGGTACAAAACAATACCTATAAATTATAACATCTATTAACATACCTATAAATAACATCAACCTGTTATTATTTTTTTGTATATTGAAAAAATTAATGTTGCAATCGTTTCCGCACTTTTCCTTTAATGGTTGGCCACCCGTACCGTAGATAACCACGATATAATTGAAAAGTTTATTTCATTATATTAATTTTACATAACTACTTTTTTCCGAAAAAAAACCCTTTTTGAACGGTCAGCTACCCACAAAAATTGTTTTAGTCCGAAAATTAATCTGGCGAATGACAAATAATGGATGTTTTACTTTCTAAAAAAAAACTATGTCTTTGCAAAAACGTAGTTCAAATCTAATTGTGTCTTAAATTTTACTACAAACTTCACATCATTGAATGTAGATAAAAAAAATATAAATTGCTTTTAATTAGCTCGTCATTTCTCGTAGCAGTCAAGGATGTAAAGTCATTATTTACGGATGTTAACGATACGAGCAATTGGAATTTCTTTAATGTTGTTGTAATTTTTTGTTGTAAAATGCATGAAGCAAAAGACTACAACAAGAATATATTGATAAATTGTTTTCACGTGATAAAATTCTGCAAACAATGAATTTTGTATTTTACTGTATCCGAAAAATGAGTAAAAAATTTTTTTTAAAGAAAGAACATTAATAATAATTTTCACAAATAAAGCGTTTCAACACAGTTTTAATGGGATAAAAAAGCCTTTGATAAAATTGTTCATCATTGTAGGTTAATGGAGCTAGTTTTGTTAATTTGATAAGCATTTTTTTTAATAATTTTGCAAAATCAGCAATTTAAATTTTACAATATTTCCATAGCGTTTTTAAACTAATGTTTTGAAAGCAATATTTTACAAAACACTCATCACAGTTTTGTAAATAAATTTTTTTTTTATAAAACGGTGATTTTTTTAATATATAAAATAATGACCGGTTTGTTTAAAATTTGATCTGCAAGTTTAAAAAATTTAAAAAAAAATTTGATTATAAATTTTATTAAAATGTATTCAGAACTCTTTTTGTTCCCTTACTGGTCTATAATAGTTATTGAAATTCAAAAATAGAAGAAAAATAAATAAATAAGGAGATAAATGAAAACTCTGAATTTACGTTTTTAAAGTCACTCATTTTATTCTTATCAACTGGATTGAGCAAAATAGAAAAGCATTATTAAAAATGGAAGTTTTTTAGGTAGACTGAAAATCAAACCTAAAAAATTAGATAAACTAAACAGGAGAGAGTCGCGCAGTGAAGACACGGTTCCCAGTAGAACACCGATGTCAAGCATCACTGGCTGTGGTCAGTAAGCGGGTGGGTGACTACTTTGATCAGCTTAAGTAGGGACCGAGGGTGAGCGGTATCGTCCTCCTTAAACTGTTCTACCGTAAAGTGCTCGACTTAGCGCGCAGGTCGTCGGGCAACCGAAGCGGGGATGCCATCCCCTTTGCAGAGGATCAAAATTGTGATGACACAATTTCGAAACGTATCATCATCAGGATGTTTCCCAAACCGTCGCCAATAGCCCATTGTGCAGCTTTAGTGCGACGTAAATAAAGTCCCTACCTACCTAAATAGGACAAAATAGTTTTAGGTTTATCAGACCTGATGCAGGAAAGATATCACTTTCAAACATATGGACATATTTTTGGTGATTATAGAAATTTAGTGTGAAAGGGCCTTTTCTTTTTTTTTTTCCTTTTTTTTTAGGTCTGAGAAAAATAAAATTATTTTCTCCTTTTTAGTTTGCTTGAAGCAGGATTTGTTTTTTTAAATGCAATTTTTTTTAGTTCTTCGTCTGTTAGTTTGTTTACGCAGGAAATTTGTTTTAATTTATGCCGGAATTGATTTATAAAGTAAAAAAACAAACAAATTCCAAAAAAATATGAGAACAAAACATAAAAAATGTAGTTCATAAACCGATGAAAAAAACTGTCTTTCAAAATGTTGAAAAGAATTTTTACAAATATAATATAATAAAATAGGTCTATATTTAGGTTTTTCTTCATCAACACTGGAATTTCAGTAATAATTTGGTTGGTTTTGAGATGAGTCGGATAAAGAGTCTCATGATGAGGTTGAAATTCGCGTCGGATGGAATATCCTTAGAAAACATCATTTCTTGGAGAAGTAAATAAATATTAGATATCCCACTCTTACTTGCGAATGCAAATTAAATAGAAGTTTGTCCCACGCTTCATTTTTCAGATGAAAGTGACAAAAATAAAAAGCTCTTGACTTTCTTTAGTAACACTCCTTCTTTACTACTTTCTCTCACTGCGTACATTTTCTACTATTCCTATGGGTTGAAAAATACGCAAAAATAAGTACTTTTAAGAAAGTATGAAGTTTGAATAATTTAATTTAAAATAAAAAGAGTGAACTTTTAAAGATAACTTTCGAATTTTAAATAAAAGTCAACTGCTTTTGTAAATTGTGATTTGTAATTTAAAATGTTCATCCTATTTTATTGGAAATGTAAAATTATGAAGAAAGAATGAAAAGATGATTTTTGACTTTTTTTTTGACACATCCTCAGAATAGTTTTTTTAATATTTATTTTATTTTCTCATTCTAAACTTTTATATCCGAACTGATACAAAAGCTAAAATAACAACTAATCGGTCTACCTGACATTTTTATTTCGAAATTTGTGACCACCTTATTTCGTTTAAAACTGAACAGTAAATAATGAAATGAACTGTGCTTCCTTTACGAATTTTTTCGAAAAAAAAATGCGAAAAATAAACATATTTTTTTATTTCATTACTAAATACAAGGAACTCAAATAAAAAAAAATACGCAATTTATAAGTTGAAATTATTTGAATTTTTTAATGTATCAAAAATATTTAATTTACCATTATCCCAAATTATTTCGGAAAAATGAAATAGTTAAATATTTCTCTTTGTATATGTTCACATCTTCTAAAAAAATCATCTACATTACTTTTCCTTTTTCTTTCTCTTTTTTTTCTATGTAAATTAAACAACCATCGTATTGTGCAAAACACATGTCCCACACATGGCAAGCTCCCAAACAAATAACTTGCAATCGCAGCAGATTATTATTATTTTCCGCTTTGCTTACGGCCCAATGAAAATGTTATAAAACAAAACGTATTGACGAATTCTGCTATGCCCGAGTTTATTCGGGATAATAAATATTTTCAATCTATACATATCCGAGTTAACTCGGGACAATCAGAGAAGCGGTTAAAAAATTCGCAAATAAACAAAAGGAATATTATTTTAATTCCGAAAAATTTATATTTACGATTATAAAATTCTAGGCTGATTCGGGATCTAATACCTAATGAATACAAAGTACACGCGTTTCCTAATAACTTATCGAGATATGTTTTAAGAATCTTACAATTAATAATATTAAATATATTAAATATTAAAAAAAATAAAACAGAAAAAATTATTTTGCTTTGTGTCCCATGCTGTTATGTCCATTTGTTAATCTAGCAACACTCATTTTCAAATAAAGGAGGAAAAAAAAAACAGTTATTCACGAAATATATTTCTCAACATTGACAAATTAATTTACATCTCATTAGTGTTTTCCTCCAAGTCTCGTCGTTAGAAAGAGCAATGCAATCAAGAACGTTTTTAATAAACAATAAACACTGAAATTGAGATAAAGTGGATAGATTAAAGAGATATAACATGTATCGTTCATGTATTTTTTTCACTTCAGAAACTTCTTAGAGTAAAAAAAAAAAAA